TAACTATGCAAAGGCATGATATGTCTTTTTTTTATATGACGTTAACTAATATTAAAATAAGTGTTTTTAAGGCAGTTTTTTGGGCCGGGATAGCCTGGTCGGTAGGGCGCTGATCCCATGTCCGAGAGTTTGTGGGTTCGAACCCCGCCGGCCGAAGACTCCCCGTGTAGTAAAGTGACTGATGCACGTTAAATCTGTCGAGTCGCAAAAGTCCTTCATGTTCCCATAACAAATTAATACCTCTGGGGATACTGGATTGGAGATCGATCGTTCTCTGATTCAGGTCAAAATTACGATCTGTGAATAGATGTATGAATGGGTCCGCCCTATAAACGGGTGCGACGTATGGTGTGGAAGAAGTCGAATTCTTGGTCATAGATGGCGCCACTGGAAAACAAGAACATTAGCACCCCCTCTGCCTAAACAGGCATACGTCAACAACAACAAGGCAGTTTTTTTAAGTTTTTAGCTAATAATACTGCAGTATTCTCTGATTCGGCTTAGATTCTGAAACGACAGTAGCTGTCAGGTCAACGAATCCTTTTTCCTTTTTTTTATCTTCATGATAAGTTCTGACCACAGTTCTCACTCCAAATCTCACTCCTCTGTCCTCCGGACAAGGAACTGTCTTCGGAAGAAGACGATGCGTCTAACTGAAAATACAACAACGAAAAACGAAACAACAAAGAAATATACGTAGAAAAAAGTTAACTATTTTCACATAAAAGTAAGAGCCCAGTGAAATATTCTGAAAACACTAAAAGAACATTCAAATTTACACCACAGATTATGGTATTTAAAGACAATACTATAAACATTTAAACAAGGAAAACTAAATTCATTGTACTTATATTATTGGGAGTATATATTAGTTCGATCCATTTTCAAAACATGGCTCTGGTTGTTATGAATGTTTCATAGTGACAGCTGGTTTCGGTGGTTTCAGAGAGGTTAAACATCTGTCAATAATATTCAGTTTATATCGCTTTGAGTTTCATACAAAAACCCTGCTTTTTACTTTGTTGAATATGTCAAATTCTGTGGTAACTAAGCAGCATTTGCGGGATGTTTTATATTTCTGCTTTTATTGGAAGAAAAGTGCAGCTGAAGCGCATCGAATGCTTGTAAAAGTTTATGATGACAATATTCCAACTAATAAATCTGTAGGGACTGGTATCGACATTTCAAGAAAGGTGAATGAAAAATGGTGAATAGTGTTGTATACTATGAGCTGCTACAACCTGGCGATTCCATTACGGGCAATCGGAATAGGCTACAATTGATTCGTTTGAGTTGTGCATTACGAGAAAAATAGCCGGAATACGAGGAAAGACATGACAAAGTTATTCTTCTGCATAATAACGGTCGACCTAATGTCGCAAAAGTCGTGAAAAATTATTTGGAAACGCTCAAGTGGGATATTTTACTGCACCCGCTGTATTCGCTGGACATGGCTCCTTCTGATTACTGGTTGTTCCGACAGATGCAGCACGATTTGGCAGGTCACCAGTTCCCTTCTTTCGCAGAAATTGAAAATTGGCTCCCAACTTGGATCGCCTCAAAAGACGAGATATTCTTTCGAGGTGGAATTCAAAAATTGCCTGAGAGGTAGGAAAAAGTAGTAGCCAGCGATGGACAATACTTTGATTAATCTGCTCATTCATTTTGTTCTGAAATAAATCCATTTTTGACCACAAAAAAGCGGACCGAACTAATTTGTACTCCCAATATTTCACATGACAGGTAATCTTGATAAGGCACATGCATTGCCATGTGCACTTCTTTTCCTATATGTAATTATAATATTATATCTTTGGAGTGCTAGTGCCCACTTTGTTAGCTTTGCACTATGTGGGACACTGAGCGTCGAATATGTGTGTGGGTCATGATCAGAAATTACTTCAATTTGTGAATCAAAAATCCATGTATCGAACTGCTTTAATACCTCCAACACTGAAAAAGCCTCTCGTTCGATAGTAGACAATTTTTTCGCTTCCCAATAACACCTTTCTAATGAATGCAATAGACATTTTTTTCTATATTCATCAGTTTGGGATAAACAGGCTCCCACGGCAGTTGCACTACCTACAGTAAAGTGTTGAAGCGGCCGCTTCATATTGGAAGTGTACGGAGAAATCATTTTAATTAGCAGCTCTTTGAGCTTAAAAAGACGACTGTTCAGCTGAGTCGTCCCAAAGAATGTTTTTCGGATCGTTTTTCTTGGTAAAGTTAGTTCTAGGTAACATTTTATGTGAAAAGTTCGGAATATTATTTCTATAGTAGTTAGCCAAAACCCAGAAGACATCTAACTTCCTTTGTAGTAGATAATCGGCTTACTTTTCGTACTGCCTCAATCTTTTCGGGATCGGGGGAATGCTGTCGGGATCCGAGAAAATGACCAGAAAATTTTAGAGTCTTTTTCCAAAGTCACATTTTTAAAGATTCACTTTCAGCCCTGTTTTGTTCGATGTTCTGAACACATGGTCAATATGATAAAGGTGATCTTCCCAAGCTTCAGAAAATATTTCAACATCGTCCATATATGATAGGCAATATTTCCGATGAGGCAATAGGACTTTATCCCTCGATTTTTATCTCTCGAAAAGTACTTCCACTGTTTTTCATGTCGAATGGTAGAACCTTCCATTTGTAATGTTCAGAATGAGTTACAAATGCAGTAAGATGTTTAGCTTCCTCCTTCATAACTATTTGCCAGTACCACTTTGTCAAGTCTAATACGCTTATGTAATTTGTTCATCAATTTCAAATAAAAGATCTCTGGCATTTTGCATAGGATGGGCATCATCCTCTTTTCGATATGCATGCTATGGGAGGAGTTTATTTATTTTCCCTTGTTAATTTGTAAATTTGCTTTGTAAATCTGAGAATATTTTTAAAAACATTTTTTAATAATTTCTTCTTCTCCCTTAAAAAATCTTATTTTTTCCCCCTGCTTTCTAGATATTTCTAGCTTTTTCTTTCTATATATACTAACTATATATTTTTAACTATTTCTTTCTATATATATATATATATATATATATATATATATATCAACTTTCTCGGGCCATAGATCGGCTGCTTAAGAATATTTCAATTGAATATTTCAATAAAATGCAGAGCAATAAAATTATAACAAAACAAAAAATGCAATGTTCCCAGTTATATTAAATACATTTCTTTTAAAAATTTTGTTTCAAAATTTATTTGAATTTAATTTATTCATAAAAAAAACCTGAAATATAATTTGAGTATTGGCATTTTTATTCGAAATCTACACTTTCAGTATATATTCCCAATATTGTCACTTATCAGGAAATATTAAAAAAATATTTTGAAAATGTTCGGGATGAGATTTGGGACCACCATTGGGATTACCTTTCATTTTGCTTTATACTTAGTGTATATTACAGTTTGGAAACATTTTCCCAAAACCTATTTTACTATTCACTCTTATCTAATTTTTTCAACCGTTTTCGAAATACCATAAGAGAAGAAAAAATTAGGATGTTAGCTTTGAAATACTTATTATGAGTAATGTAAAAAAGAGATATTTCAGACTTGGAGTTTTATTCGAGATATGAATAGATTTCTAAACACAAATAAAGAAAAGAAAATTGAAAAGTTTTGAAATGCTTTTAAAATTACTAAAAAATTACATTTGGTCTATTGAAACCATGAGTAATGCAGCATATTTATTACAAAACAACTTTGGATTTATTATCTATATTAGAGTTCTGATGCCTGAGTTAGGCGAAATATATCTAGCGTATTTTATTCAATCAATAATTTAATGACTTTTACAATAATGCGATTTGTTTCATTAAATTCCTTTTAGTTCCTTCGGTTAAAGTTTTAATTTCTTCTGTAATAATCAGGATCTTACTCATTAGTACATAGTATAATTTCATGTAATAAACAATGCAGTTAACTGTTTTAAATGTATTAATCCATTTGGGAATAAGATTCTGAAGTTAATGGAGACAAGAAGTTCTAAGAAAATAACGTATCCTTAAGGGCTATTCCCATAAGTTGTCTAACACGTGATACAAACAAATAATTATACTTTATTCAAAAATATTTTGTAAATGCTTATATATGTCAGAAATATTTATGTACCAAATTTTCACGAATTAAAATATTTTCTTTGATTTTTCTATGAAAAAAAACCTGTTTATTGTATAGATTATTTCCAATTTTGATCTAATGTTAGAATTGCTCTTAAGTAATATAAAACCATTTCTCATTTTTTTATTTATCAGTTTTATGTATTGTAAATTATACTAAATATAAAAATTGGCCTAAAAATTCTTCATATTTTATTACTTTTTTTAAATTAAGCTTTTGTATGTTCTTTTTGCTTCCATGTATGTAGTTTTTTCTCTTCGCTTAATTCTAAAGCATTCTTGGGAAACTATTTCGTTTGGAGTGTTGCCAAATTTTAAATCGATTCAAATGCGTTTAATAGACCAAATATTGTTTTACTTCTTTCATAAATCTCGGTTCCATCTTATAATTTATTTAAGCTTTATTTAAAGCATTAATATTTATCTTTTATTTCGAGTATGTTTCTCCGAAAACTTAATTTTTTTAAGCTATATATTTACGAAATATTTATTTTGTTTTTTTCCGGGTTATGTTTTGAATTGAATTTAATACTTTAAGTCTTTGAATGGGTCGCAAGTTTGATATTTGAATATTCAAAATGCTTTTTTTGCTTGATAAAATCGAAGAAGAAACATAAAAAGACTACATTTTTTACAACACTTATTTATTTAGCACATGCCATATATTTATAAAGGCATATAATTTAACAAAATCCTTTATAGTACAGAATAATAAAAGACGTAATATTTTACAAGTATGATTAAGCTTTTCTTAATCATTAGAAAAAAATACAGAATTTGCTTTCATTACAAAGATTTTTTTCAAAAAAAGAAGTCAATGTCATGAATAATTTAATTAATTGTAGCCAAGAAATAATTTTCTTAATAAACATCATTATAAATAAAATATTTAGCTGTTAACTGAATACAAAATTAAGAAAAACTCTATAAAAATATATATACACAAATTCTTTGCATGCGAAATCTTTCGACACAAATTGAAAAAAGCAAAAAATATCATTAAATGATGTCTAGTAATAAATTAATATATAAATGAAGCTTGAAAGACAATTTTTTTATATTACACTAACAGATATATTTGAGCAAGTCCAAGCTACAGTTGTCATAAAATTATTAAAAAAATATTTTTACTGAATATGAACAAATAGTAAATTACTTTGTATGTTATTTTTTATACAATTTAGTAATAAAGCTTAGGGGTGAAAATTATCCTATTTTCTCTGGTAGTTTTTTTTGTTCTAATTAATAACAATATTTAAGAAAAATTTACTTTAACCCAGTTTCAAAGTGCAGAACTTTCCTTAGTTAGCATAAAAAGGTCTCTTATAGTTTTGCATAAAACAAACAATTCCTTGTTTTTTTCTCTCTCCTTATTTTCACTAAAGTATATTAATGATTACGTAATTATGTTATAGACATAAAAATATTGAATTTTAAGGGATTTAAAAGTCAAAAGTACAAATACATTTTTTCTGAACAATATTCAGAAATTTATGTAAATAAAATTGTATAACAAAGCTGCCACCAATGAATATAATGTTAAGAGCAACATGATAAAATGAGCTCTGTTTTGTCCGCTCCATTTATCATAAAATGCTTTGAATTTTGAAATTAATTAATTCAACTCGTCCTCCGGTTGGAGTCAAACTTAAGAGATCTAATAAATTCCTACTAGTTGCAATTCAAAAATAAAATAAAGATATGCGACTATATAGTTTCAATTCCTTAATATCAATACATACGGCTTTCGAAAAGTTTTTTTCTTTAATTACTGTAACTGCTTATAGTCTACAATGCAATTACAATTATTACTTCTTATGAGATAATGAGCAGTAATGTATTACTTTTATATAATATATTTTTTAAATGATTGTCAAGATAAATTATGTTCACTAAATAAAGTTTCATTAAAATCAAGTGTATAAAATTAAGTGAAAACAGGTGCAGTAAGAAGAAATTAAATAATTATCTTCAACTCTCAACTTTATTATTAAAAAAGGAATTTTTTCCACTTGCAGCTGAAGTTTTACTTTATTAGAAAGAAAACAAATAACTACTTACAGTATTATTCCACTGATATATTTTTTTTCTGTAGAGATAAATGCAAAATTCACATAAAATAAAAGTACGTAATTGTTGTATTTATTGATAGATGTTTCATTTTGGCACATTATTTGAAAAATATTTTCTCTGACATAATTATAAGCCATTTTGATAGTAAAAAGTTTTAAGATTTTTAAAATAAAGATATTATTTAACAGCAAAGGGATTTTTGTAGAAACTCAAAAGACAATACCAAATCACCCACCATATGATCCAGATCTGTCCTCTATCTTCCATGAGCTCAAAAGTGCTTCAGCAAGAACATGGGACAATAGGATGAAAAAGTCAAGGTCGGTAAGTTTTCAGAGCTCTGATTGTTTTCAGAGCTTGGCATTGTGCAAGTATTTGCACAATAGTGACAAATGATTAATCATCTGTAGTCAAAACCTTTTTAATTTCATTTAATAATTTTTATGAAATAGATTCTGACTGACTCTTTAATGATTATTTCGGACCTGATTTTATAGTCCGATATAGTAACAGTTTGTTACTATATCAAAATGAGTATTTAAATGACATTTTGTTATTAGAAAGCATTGGAGTCTCTACACGCGAAACAATATTGAATTGATTCACTGATTACGACTGACTCGACAAACTGACATGAATTAGAACACTAACTCATTTGAAGAATAAAAAAATTCAGACAACTAGTTTTGATCATAAGAATATTACCTTGAAAGATTTATTTAAAAATTAAATGGTGTAAGAAGTTTTTTATTATTTACAGATAAATTGTTAAGTTTAATCTTTAAAAAAAAAGTCCTTTTTCCTAACCACGCTTTTCATTTAGGAATAAAGTATATTTAGATAATTTAAAAGGAAAGAATTCTGTAACCAAATTTATAAAAGTCGTTCTGCTTTCCAGAATAAAACAGATTTGTTATACAAACACACAGTATCATACATATTAAGTAACAACAAAAACTTAGTAATTGTAGTCTTTCAGGAAAATAAATATATTAACACTTTTCGACTCACAGAATTATATACATATATTTTTTTTCTCTGAATAGAGCTTCTAGTCTCTTAAAACATAGTCTTCATTTTAATCAAGGACGCAATTTAAATCATTTCTCACTTATGAGGTAATTCATAAGAACGGATCTTAAAATGATGCAAATGAATATTTTACAATGTACTACTGTAATGCATCAAAATAATTTGGCACTCAGTAACGACCACATTCTGCAATGGTATCCAACATTGTGCAGTTAATGGTAATATCCATTTGTGGATAAATAATACTGTGTAAGCAAGAATTAGCCTGACGCCACTTAAAATGTTGCCATTTTTATCCGTGAATCTCACATCAATGCTTCAGATACTGTTTGGGACTGTCTGTTCCAATGAAAGAAATAACCTTGCTTAACTGACCCATGCATAGTCTTCAAACCCCTTGTCCTTCCAAAAATCACACTTGTCTTGATGGTAACTGGGAATGATTGTAACGTTGTCTCTTTCGATCAGGGCTATGTTGTTTGGGTACGTTTCCCACCCTGGAATGGGTGAATGATACCCTGCCGAATGAATGAAAGCCTTGACCAGGCGGTGCAGTTCATCTCTGAATGCGAAATCACTTTGAGTAGGAGCTTCTATGTAGTGCTCCATATGGTCAAAGAAAGCAATGGCATCCCAAGGATGAAATGAGAATGATGATGGGTAACCAAGAGTTTTTATCTGAAAGTGATAATACAAAAACATTAAATCATATTTGAAAATAAACATAAGCAGAAAGGGAATATTTAACTGAAGAAATTAAAGAATGTTTCATTTGTGAAAACTAAATTGAAATTTCAGGGGAAAAAGATAATTATAGTTTTAATTTTCTACACAACAAGAATTTATTTTGAAAAATCGTAAAATTTTGGAGATCTTTAACACGTTCACGCCGGGGTGACCCACCGGTGGGTCGCGCTAGATTGTCTCATCTGGCAGCGCACCAGAGTAAAAACTGGTAACAATAAATTTCATTTTTTAGTTTTAATCCGGGAATAATAAAAATCCATAACTACCAATTGTTTTTAACGGATGCAATTTTTATATTGAATTGCTTCTTCGCCGTGATAAATTTCCTTACAGTGAATTGTTATTGTTGAGAATAGCTAGTTGAGAATAACGTTGAGAATAATGAATAATGTTGAGGATAATACTCCTCCCGAATATTATATAATATTGAAATAGTTCTTCTACCAGTATTTTCTTTTTTCCCGTATCAGTATTTTCACTTTTCCCGGCGTGAACGCATTAAATGTGTTTGAAATGGAAAAAAGATTGTAAGCGCATTTGTCAACAATCAATAGATTAATCTAGAAAACTGTCTCTTGACAGCAAATTAAAACGCTAGGATTGGACAACTATAAAACTGTAGGATTGGACAACTATAAAACTGTAGGATTGAACAACTATAAAACTGCTCGCACTACGGCACGAGAAGTTTGAATAGGTGTTTGAGATTGATAGTTTCTGTTAATGGAAAGCTTGTGGATAAGAACTGAAGGCGAGATAAAATGCTTAGTGCCAATTTAAAAAACTCAAAATTTAATTATTATAAAATTCAAAATAATTCACGCAGAACCTTCATACCCGCACCTCTTTAGTTTCAGCTTAATTCTATTGACTAAAATTTGTATTATCGCTGTTAAATTAACTGTAAAAATGAAGCATATAATAAATTACATGATATTAGTTTACTACAAAGCCTCTCACAAACCTCAATATTTATCGGAAACTTGAAGTACTTCTAAATCACATGTGTATATGCCACACTCGCACAACCCATAAACGCCTCTTGTTAATTGGACCTTATTATGTTCCAATTGAAAGGAACCGCTTACGTATAAAGATATTTTTACCTTTTTTACTCTGCGCAATAAATTAAAAATCAAAAAAAGCTTCATATTCTCAATCTTACATTGGTTTTACTAATTGATGATAGCCACCATAATAACTTTTTTTCATATCAGAAAGATACTGTTTTCTATACGGCCACCTAGCTCTCAGCTCACAGGAGAATCGTCAACCTAGTTGTATAATATAAACCTAGTTGTATAATTTACACCTAGTTACGACCGCAGTAAACAGAATCTTGCATTATCTGAATCTCCACAACTGAATCTTGCGTTAAATTAACTCCGAGCTAATTAACGAAAATAATCCCTGATTGAAGATTTATAAGTCTTCGCTCACTAGGTACACCAAAAATAATTATTAATAACGAAAGGGAACCGAAACACATAAATTAAGCATCCAAATACGATGGAGAGAACTTCACGTCGCAAGATAAAATAATAAAAACATTACAATATATAGCAGGCATGTAGGCTAATTCTCAGAAATCCCCCTCTTCAAAAAAAATCATCGGGAAATTATTTAAAAAAAAAAGCTAAATTTTAAAATATTTTAACATATAACTAGAAGCATATTTTATGTTTTTTTCTAAAGTGTATATTTTAAAATTATTTTATAAGTTTGAAATGGTATAATAGTAAATATAAAAACAAATTTGAAACATTTAGAACAAATAAATCGATGGTTCATTGCTGTTTCTGCACGTCTTAGAAACAAGTTAAGTTTTTTGTGAATACAAATGTAATTTTTAACTTATACTATCAAACCACTCATTTAATTTTGAAAAAAATCCTACGAAATGTATCTTTTTTATAACAAATAAATTTTTTAATTCTTCTTAAAAAATATTTGCTTGCCAAAAATGTTGTTCATTTGCGTTTGGGCAACGTGAAGGTTGTTTATTATTATGAGAGGAACGAAACTACATTTTTCTCTGTTGCATTTCCACGTTGAATAAAAACCATACCAGAACTTTTATAACTTATAACTGTTCAAAATGAATGATATATTCTTTAAAAAAAATGCGCATGTAATAACGTATTCTGCAGAAACTTCAATCTATTTTACATTTTTTTCTGAAACAAAAATTAATTTAAAACTACAAATGTTTTTAATAGTACGTAAAAATAATTATGTATAAAGAGTATAGAATTCGCTAGGTAAAAGAAAGTCTATACATTATAAATGTTCAGATTATAAATGAGAATTAAAAATTTTCATTGATATTTTGCTGCAACATGTTTAATATATTTAAATTATGAAACGTCCTTAAGCTATATCATTTGTTTTGTAATAACATTTTACCGAGAACAAAATCTCTCGTAATTTAGGAAATTTCGTATCTCGAGAACAATAACTTCAAAAAATATCTTTTTCCTGAAGTCGTAATCACTATAGCTATTGCTTTGGCGAATGCATAAAATAAGAAGGAACAAGACATAATGAAACCTTTTATGCCAAACTTTCAGGTTATGAAGAAATAACTTATCATAAAGAAGTATTTCTTGCAGAAGAATAGGTAAAGAAAGTAAGCAATATCATCCTATCTTTAGAATATTTAAGGTAGCATGCATTGAAATATCTTTTGTTATCCCAAAGCATTTTTGTGGGATCTAATGAAATACTCCAGGAACATACGGATATAATTTATTTAATTGATTAGCACTTGGTTTTAAGGACACTTTTTATTAGATTCAATAAGTACATAAGCAAATAATATTTCACATTTGCTGCACGCAACAAATTGTCCATTTTTAAAATAATGGCATTCGGTAAATGCTTTAATTCAAATTAACTGATAATATCATGAGATTTAAACTAAATTCAATTCTTTTCAAATTTAAGAGTTGCCTTTTTGGTTCTTTTTAAATAATTTAATTCTTAAACTTGCCGACCGGCCTGAGTAGGGGGCAGGGAACTGTCCTTGCATCAGAAAAGTCATGGGTTCGAATCCCGGGCAAGGCATGGATGTTTCTTTCTCTCTTTCTGTGTTCTATGTCCCTTCTCCTTTGTGTGTGAATATGATCCGCCCTATAAACGGGTTGTGGTTGTGTGAATGGCGTGGCAGAATTCGAATTCCTGGCCATAGATAGCGCCACTGAAAAACAGGAACAATCGCACCCCCACTGTCTAAAAAAACAGGCATACGACAAAAAGAAGAAAAAAATCTTAAACTTGCTTGTGTGTTTCCGAACGAAAAAGACAAGTACTACAAAATAATTTAAGTAAATTTTTTCATCCATTATAACAAATAAAAAAATAATCAGTTTTCGTTTTAAAATTTGTTCAAATCTTGACCAGTTTAAGTAGTGTGGCAATTAAAAACTCATCTTTGTTTTTATAGTACACCTTACTTGTAATATCCTCATTCTACATAAAACAAGTAAAGCTTGCGTCAGGTTAAAACAGTATAGATTGGGACTTACTCCATTGTAAAAAATGACCTATGACTTCTAGTATTAATTAACAATTTCGGCTCTTGACTACATTTAGATACGCCAAGAATGTTTTTGAGAAAGAAATTACTATACAACAATAAATTGTATAGATCTAGAAAGCTGGTTTTTATTGCTGCAAATGACATTAACTATTATTGAAATCGATATTACAGAATTCGACTGTAATTTTAAATTTGCCTCATCTGTTTTAAAAAGTTGACTATGCTACATTAGTTAAGTTTTTAATTCTTAACGAAATATTTTTTTAATAAACCAAATATGGTTAGCACTATTGACTCAAGCGTCAAAAAAAATTCTATCAATGTACATTCAGAAAGAAAGTGTAGTCAAAACTATCAGAGTATGGTAAAATTTAGCGTGTTTCCGGCACTATGAGAAAACCAAAGAGTTAGGTAATTTTAAATGAAGCGCTTCGGTAAGGATTTTGGTAAAATTAACAATAAAATATGGTTTTGTAATATGTGATAAAATTTGATAGATATAGCAAAATTTGGTTATTTATCACACCCTAGAGCATGGCATTAAAACCATTTATTTGGTTAAATTTATTTCTCAGTTTCGCATTTTTTACTATATGTGTGGAAGTGAGATCAATAATTTTAAGAACTAGAATTTTTGGTAAACCTAATTTTTTATGAATGTTACATGAATCTATGGAAAATTACTATATATTTTAATTTTATGAAACAGAATTATGCTTATTTTAAACCAGAAGTTAGTTTACTATATAGTATGGTTATTTAACCCGAATTTTTTTCTTTGAGTATATTAAGTTGGTAATAACTCAATTACTGATAGTTTGGTTGTGAACTATTTCATAACCTGCACAATGGAGAACTATATCGTTTTATGGATAATGTATCCTCAAACTTCACATAGAAGTCAATCCTAACCAATTTTGAAATATCTTACTATGGAAATATCAGCAAGATTTAAGGATGCAAGTTTTGAATAATTCATTGATAAATTTAATTTCGTTATTTTCTGATTTATATTAAAATTTTCTTAAATTTTCTTAAAATTTTCTTAATAATCTGCTTAATCAATACTTTAAAAATATGTCGCGCAAAATAAAGAGAAACTGGGCAGCACATTTTCTTTTTAACTTTAATTTTATACCAATTTCATCGATCTTGTTTCTAAAGAAAATGTCGGTAATAAAAGAGAATTATTGTTCTTATAAATCTAGCTTCTAATCTGTAGTAAGTAAGTATTCTTCCCAATTGCCCGAAAACGGCAGTGCTTACAGCCACTGCTTCAATTGATAAAATTTAACGCTGCTCTTTCATCACAATTGTATCTTTTTTTATTTTTTACTAATTTGTTTCATTCTTCGCAATCCGTCTTGTTTAAAAATAGAATAAAATGTTGCTTGCTAGCTTTCAACTCTCATAAAGATTAGCAAAACTTTTGGTGAGTTTTTTATGTCCTAAATTTCATAAATTGAAGATTTAGTAATTTTTCAGTTAAAATCTTAGTTCTTTTGGTTAACTTATAAATATTTTTTCTCGTTTAAAAGATATTCCATAGAATTAACTCTATATGCTTTACTCAATCAATCATTAACTTTTGTTTCAATGATTGGAAAATTGCAATGTTAGTATGAATAACTTCACAAAATTCAGTATTTTTCCCGTAAATTTATAATAATTGCCCTCAATTTAATTTTAACATGATTCGATAATTTTTTGAAAAGTACACTGTAAAAAATTCCAGATGAAATTACAGTTCAAAGTACCAGTACTTTCGGCCCAAATCCGTTTATTCATAAAATATACTATAATTTTTGAAGTAATACAGAGTGTGATTCAGTGATTTTAAGTAAATTGTTACTGTAAAATTTACAGTATATCAGATCTTTTGTCCCGTAACATGTTCCGGTAAAAATTTATTTCACGATAAAAAGTACCAGCACTCTGAATGTCGGTACCATAATTTGATCCGGAATATTTTTCAGTGTAGTTTAAGACATAGAGACATTTTTGCAATTTTCTTTATTTATTATATCTTTTTTGTGTTCAATTACTTAATACTGAATAATTTAAGTTTTTGGAAAACTAATAAACAATTAGAAATGTTATCATGAAAATTGCAATGTAAATTAATAAAAAAATGCATGCATATATATCTGAAGTCGTAATCACTATAGCTATTGCTTTGGCGAATGCATAAAATAAGAAGGAACAAGACATANTATATATATATATATATATATAAAACGTTTTTTCATAATATAATATTTGAAACTACATGCTGATGACTACTACCGCCATTTCTATTTCTATTCTTTTATTTATGATTAAAAAATATATATATTTTTAAAACAATATTTTTCAAACATAAATACTTTATGGTTAATGTGGGAATAAATTGGAAGTTTAAACAATCTGTTTCGGGACTTTTAATTCATTTGGGCATGCATATGGTTGTAGTGTTATTAATAATTTGTTAGTCTGAAGTAAATTTTTATAATAATATTAGTAAACCTGTGTTCGAGTTTTCGTGATTAACTTTAGGTATAGAAAATTCCGATTTAATTATAATTGTTTCAATGCTTAACTTTTAATTCCTTATTGGATGACGTAGTTACTAAAATAATTTTATAATACGTTTGGTGCAATCTGTGTCCTTAAATCCTACATCCAATTTAATTATTTTTTATAATTTGTCCTTGGTGTAAACTTGCTTTAATCTGCATTTCGACATGATAATCGAGTACGTCATACATTTATTTATCTTTTTGCTATAAATATATTTTGCTATAAATATTGTTTCGCTTTAAATATTGTTTTGCTTTAAATATTTTTTACATTCACTAAAAATGTTAAAAGGAAAATACTTACTGAAATGGAAGGAGTAGATGTAACAACGTATCTGTAAAAAGGAGATGATGTTGAATTAACTAACTTCTTTATCATTCTGTCAATTGGGCAAGTTTGTCTGAGATCAGTGACCATACTGCTATACACTTCCTCTGCTGTCAGGAAGTCTAGTGAATATACAAAGAAATAAAGATTGATAAATAAATATATAAAAAAATCGTATGCTTATAAAATATGGACATACATTTCAAGTAAATTAATGCCTGAATCTTAGATTTTCCCCTAGTATGAAATATACTGCTCATAATTATATTAAATTATACATTGTTAACAAAGATATGAATGATTTTTTAAGAACTGGAAAGCTTAACTCTCTAACTCTAATGATGGCCTTTGTCACTGTTTTTTTTTATCATAAGATATTTTCTAGAAAAACAGGGAAACGTTTGTTAATAAAATATATAACCTATGTAGTTTTGTGTAACAGCATTTTGTACAATGCGTTTTGTTTGCGTAATGAAATGATTGACCACCTGGATTCGAAAAATATTCACCTGTGCTTGAAAATTATTAAATTCAAGAGTGCTGAATATGTGACATAAAAAGTAATTTTGATAGGAAATGGCTTTTATCTCTTTTGAATTGAGCTTTTTATATTTAAAAAGAAGTTTCAATGAAGATGTTTAGATTTATATCTGATTTATAATTCTCCCCCTACTTTTGAGAACAAGCAGTTCTCAAAAGTAGAGGAAAAGTAGTAATTCTCAATGAGATAGGCCAGTTTATAAAAATAAAGACCACTAGCCCGATGAATAAATTTTCTTTCAATAATTGAAGATAGCATAAATGGTCAAATATTTAAAGAAAAAAAATGTCAAAAAATGCATTTAAAATTGTAATATCTTACGAAACATTCTTTTGAAGCTCTTAAACAAAAACAGCCCTGTCAGCAGGCGCAATTTCAAAGCTGCAGTAGCATTTCTGCATGCTTTTTATTACTAAATTTTTAACGATTGGGTACTTGCAATAAGAAAAAGAAGAAGATCACAGATAACCATTCATATGACCTATGACGTCAGCTGTAGTTGATCGTTTAAACACAAAATGGCGTGCTAAAGTTGATCTAAGTTTCTCCACATAAGTTAGAATGTTAATTAACATGAAGTTTACTAAATACAACAACGTATCGCACAACAAATTTGGTGAAATATAATCATTTCTCGTTTACATCTTTTACTTAATTTAGATTTATTACTTTTTAATGATTTTTTTTGTTATCATGATATATTTTTTTTTGTGTACATGGCAACTTCGATTCATAAGTAGTTTATTTTAGCATTACATGGCTTCATACCTGTTTTTAAGTAAAGTAAGAAATAGTGGAAGAATTGAAATCCTTGTGAAAGAATACACAATGCGTCACTTAAGATAATTGATACTTGATGGGCTTGGCTTACTCGAAATTGAATGGAAAGAACAGCTGCTAACGTAAATAAATTCCGCGTTTCAACAACCAATCAGGATCAAGATACCCACTACGCAACTTGTAGGCATCCCATATATGTCAGTGCATGTGTATTGACAAGTAATGAATTGAATATGTTATGTGCTTGGCTTGGAAAAAAAATAATACAAAATGTAGCGAAGTTTTGTGGTTATGCTTCACTTAATGCTGCTATGCATAAAGTTTTATTATGTGCATTTTTTATGTATCTATTCCATTATTTTCTTATGTACGTCACTATTACTTTGATGTTTTCTGAGAATGTTTCATTCATTATTTCTACTGTTTTTGTGAGTTTTATGATTATTTTAACAGGACAGAATTTGAATTTCATGTATTACTATAATTTGTAGTAGCAACATAACATAACTGAATTATTATTTTAAAAGGTTATAGTTGTTAAAACTGGGGAATTTCCTTCCCCAGACATTCTTTTTAACAGTTCTTAGATACTTTTGTATCGCTGATTTCAAATCTGTAATCAGTTTCTCTCTCCAAGATTCAAGTTTTAAAGTTATTTTTAGTCTTTTCTGAAGAAATGTACAAATTTATAAACGCTCTATATAGCAGAGGATAGCACAAATGTTGTGCCAAACTTCTAGGAGAGTTAAGAAACATAGTCATGATTTAAATTGCATATGAACCCATGTCCCAAAATGGTTATAGGAACAGTTCATTATAGGAAATATCGACATACGCTACATATCATAGAATAGTTTCCATATTATCACTTGTTCAGAAGCACACGAAGAAACAGTTCATAATAAGAAAGAGCCTCTTGCGGCATATAACGAAGTTTCGGAAACGGGTTTCCGCGCAATAATTATCCTGATGATACTTTCTTACTCCCGCAGAAGTTTGTCGCAACATTTATGCGAACCTCTGTTTCCTGGGCCGGGATAACCTAACTGATAGGGCACTGGGCCCATGTCCAAGAGTTCATGGGTTCCTCGTGTAGTAAATGGAGACTGGTGCACGCTAAATCTGTCGAGTAGCTAAGTCCTCCATGCTCCCAAAGCAAATCAGTACTTCTGGGGATACTGTTCCAGGAACTTCCTATTTTTCTGGATTGGCTCAAAATTGCATGGCTATGGAGTCGAGTTTTAGTAGTCGTAAACTCAAAACTGGGTCTGCTGTTCAACGAGGGATATGAAATAAAATAAAAAAATAAAAGCCTATGTCACGTGGAACGTTTCATCTTATACATTTCGACGAAAAATAGACTATAAATGTCATTTTAACTCTAGAAGAAAAACTAATTTTAGATTTGTTATCCCCACACGTGAATTAGGCAATATCAAATATTTGTATGAAAGCAAAATTTTTTTTCCCTAGTTTAATTCAATATAAATAATACAAGATAGTCATTAGGAGTATAACTTTCATAAGCGCGAAAATACAATATTAAAATTGAATTAACAACTTTATAATTAAGATTCACAATACACTACGTCCATACCTCCAAATAGTAAATATCATCTTCAAGTGAAATTGAAAAGATAGGCTTATAGACTAGTAGGCCTTACTAAAACTCTTAATTCTTGTAAAATACTAATGAATTAAAATTTATTTCATAATCTTCGCTATTTTATATATATATANGTTATAAATATATATATGTGTGTGTGTGTGTGTATATGTATGTATAAGAAGTGTCAAAGCTGTAAGGTATTTTTTTCCTTGTTGTTTGCGAATTCAGTTTAAAAGTACCAAATAATTATTTAACTTTCTCGTTCTAGTCTCATTATTTATGTAATAAGCTTATTAGTCATTCTATCGTCAAGAATTTTAAACTATGGCAGAAAACATTTAAGAGTACGTTATTAAAAGTATTAAAGGAAGAAATAATTTCTTTTAAATGGTAAAGATGTAAATGAATTCGGGAAGCAAAATTAGTTGCTGAGAAAATTTCAATTTATATGCAAATTACATAAGGAAAAGTACAAATAACGCCATAATAGCATAACAAAAGATAAAAAATGAAGTAAACACAATTATTAAATTCTTAAAATTTAAACATTAAAGAAGGAAAATTTTTAAAAGCTTACGTATTTGAAGAATTAAGGACTCAGAGGTTTTCTCATTACTTAGGACAAGGATACGTAACTCTAACATAGCTTGATTTTAGATTTAAAATCTATAAATATTTTTAAGTACATTGTGAGTCATATAAGCAAGATCTGTTTGGTTCTACAGTATCTTTTTGTTCAGTTGTAATGGGATTTTTCAAAATATCGTGTACTTTAACTGACACCCATAATTTCGTAATATTTAATGATGCTAATAAGTTTTTTCACGAGATGTTTACAATTTCCATGGAAATTACTTCAAAAATAAGTGTCAAATATCTTTGCACAATCGAACAGAAATTCTTTTGTTGTCAATATGTCGTTTGATGTAATAAAAGTTCAAAAAGGTTTTAAGTTTTTTCAAAGAAATTATATTAACCACTATTTATTTTGGTGTTGTGCGTTGTGATGGGAAAAGATAAAACATTTTGAATTCTTTTTGAACGTAGGATGAAATTAAATTTTTTCTTTGATTTTTATTCTAAGTGGTTGCGATCTATGATCACAAAGAAAGAGAAATATGGATTACTTCAGGCAGATAATTAAAAGAGTTTTTTGCACCTGAGGGCGAAAACGGTATACATTCCGGTTGGTCTTCATTAGACTTAAGTAATGAATTTACAATCTTTACAAATTTCTTTTTTATAGATTATTTTTGTTTGATATATAATTAAATCGAAAATTTCTTTTATAAAGGTAATAAATTTTATTTTTATTGTTTTGAAATTGTAAGCAATTTATTTCCTTAGAAGAATTGTTATTGATTTGAAAATCATGGTATTTGCAGTCATCAAGACGAATGCTATTTAACAATAATGACTGTATTGTGTTTTTTAGTCTATACGGAAAGAAAATCATCAATATGAATTATGATAGAATTCTCATTCCTTTTTAAGTAAGGAATTCTTTAGAAAAAATTAGTCTCGTATTTCTTAGTTATGAACAAATATATATATTTTTTTGAGCTAGTGGTCTTATGATTTCCTGTGATAAAAATGTTCTGCTTTTGTACGACATATGTTTATATACCGAGTTTCGATCAATTTAATACGTAATATTGTTCGTGTTTGACGTCTTAAAGTAATTATAATTTCTCCAGTCATGGAATTAAACTCGACCACTCCACCAATAAATTGTCTTATACATCAAAGGCACTCAAGTAATCTTTTCTTGTCGTTATTAACAGCATTTTTTTCTGTTGACCACAGTTCTATTTCTTCACATTAACTACGTAACGACATTAGAATTTGGCAGAGTGTGTATCCAGTTCTTTTATCAATTCATTTTACAATCACGCAATTCCTTAAAGATGATTTCAGCCTTTGGCTGAGCTCATTTCGCTCTTGGTTTTTTCACATTGAGCGTGTAAGCGCAGTATTACCGCATCTGGCTCTAGTAACAATAAAATGTACATTCAATCAAATCTTTTAAAATGGAATCCAAATGCTTTAAGATTTTATAAATACGAATCATTGGTTGTTTCTTTGTTAATCTTCCATTACCAGTCTCGTCTTAAAACATCTAGCCTTTGTAAGATGCATATTTGGGAACAATATGGAATTTTCAATTTTCATATTGATCTGAAGAAACGTTAATTGTATATTTCTGTAATATTGCTGTTTGAAAATGTGAATTGACATTATATTTTATTCGATATTTTAATGTAGAGAAAATGCTTGTCATATCGATCTCTTAACGTAGAGAAAAAATATGTTTTATGTTAGATTTTTTTAAAATAGTTTTTTTTTTTTTTTTGTATTCAGAGGTTTGTTTGGAAGTTTATTAAATATGCTAAAACTTACCGTTATGTTGAGACGAGTTGTACTTTTGTAGAGCATCATGGCTAATTTTTGGATCAAAACTTCCTAAACTTGTCACTACATATTTGGTTAATTGATTCCAATCCCACTTATAAAGATCATCAGGTCCTGGCCAAGCATCTGTCGCTTGAGCGGTTGTACCTGAAAAAACATATTTCATAATTATAGTAAATAACACAAGAAAGACAAATATGTATATTTTCATTATCAGTTCAAAAATAATGATTTAAATTGTAATAATAATGAAATGTTAAAAATTTACAAAGTTAATAAAAATTAAAGCCTATTTTAAAAAAAAGACACAGTTTATAAGTTTCTTTTGAATTAAATTTGCATTAACTTATGTAAGTTGAAAACTTTTATTTATCCCTGAGGGAGTATATATCAGAGATTTAAATATTTAATTATGAATTATAAAAATTAAATCTTGCATCAAATCGGGTGGATAAAATCGGTTTTTGTGTGGAATTTTTTAAATTTATTTTTATTTATTTACTTACTTTTATCTTCTTTTTAAATTTGAAATAAAACAAATTTGCCTTAAAACTAAAAATCAAGTCATATAATTTATAATCGTGTCATACATTAAATAACATTCACAATTGAGAAAAATATAACACTTAGTACCAATTAATGTCACATTTAATTCAATGCTAGACAACATTAGTTATGATATCTATCAGAGCTCCAAATAAATACTGCTTTAGTGCTTATTCAGGACTTTGAACTTTTTTTTTAATCGTAATTGCGATTTTTACTTATTTTTATACAGTTTGCTACACGTACACTATTTCAACATTTTTTTATAACTAACTTAGATTTATTGCATTTGCATTCCTTCAATATGTTTAATGGTCCTTTTTTTTAAACTCAGTATGCCTTTCTTTTTAACATTGCGTCATTAATTCAATTTATTTCAAAAATATGAAAAAAACGGTATTAAAATAATGCAAATAAATGAATTGAAGCTAATGCAATAAAATATTTTTTTTAAATAAATTAATAATACAACATTTAAATATCAAATAATTTTAATATAAAAAGATAAAACAACCACAACACAAAGCAAAAAGTAAAACTGTTTTAATTAAAAGATTAACAATTTTATAATAATAATATTATCTTATTTAGAGTAATATTACATTAATATAGAGACAACAACGTATAAATAAAATGATTTATATCTATTGGTATACTCACCTACCAGAGTTGGTATTTCTTCCACTTCACCATCAATAAGTGCATCTACTGGAGGCTGTACAAGCAATTCACCTACAAAATTAGCAAAAAGAATAATTTTGTAGCTTATTCTTTTTTAAGTTAATGAAATTCACGCAGACGCATCAAAACTCTTACGTTTTTATTGTTTTCAATAGGCTATAATTTTCGTAAATACTTTTCTTTTCTTATTGATGGTTTACTGATTATTTGTGCTCAAATGACAAATTTAATGATAAAATAATATAATTTCATTGAGAAAAGCGTTCATTTCTCCCTAAATGATTTGTGGAAATGTGTCGTTAAATTAAGTGACCAATGTGAAAATTTTCAATGTTTCAGGTGAGTTAAATTCATTTCAGAAAAATATTTATATTTTATTCAAGATTTGTCTTTGTTTGAAATGTAAACGATCTCCATGATGAATAGTTAAAACTAAATACAGGGTGTCTATAAAAGAGCTCCGGGATTTTAAAAATTCATATCTCACTAACTATAAAAGATAGCAAAATTTAGTCGATTTCTCTGAAAAGAGTAGCTCAAAAAGTTTTACTCATACCAATTGGGAATGTTTGTATCAACTGTTGGCGGCGCTGCAGGGCGTTGACCTTGAAATGGCATCGCGAAATTTGAAATGATGGCGACTCCGCAACAAAAGGTTTAATGTGTTATTTGGCTCATAGAAACGAAGTCTTTAGTTACCGTACACAGTGCAGAGAAAATTCGTCATGTTCAACATCTCAGGGAACGAATAGTCAATTGTGTGGCAACCGTCCCCCCACACATGCTCGCCAGGACATGGGAAGAGGTAGAATACCGTTTAGACGTCTGCCGTGCCGCTAACGGGGCTTATATAGAACTTTACTAAGTGTTAAAAAAAACTTGAAAATGTAAGCTTTTCAGTCATGTATAAAACATGTATGTATGTTTTTTGTTTCATTAAAATATTTTGCCTCAAAACCCCGGAGTTCTTTTATAGACACCCTGTATTTTAATTAAATGTCTAAATGTTGAGATAAAATGTGCTATTATATTAGTTCTTTAACATAATATAAAATATTTGAGGAGATTTGTCAATCTGATATAGATTTGTCTTTGTGTTTAGAATATACTCACCATCAAGAACAATTAGTTGTTCAGGGTAAATGCCTTGAATTGGTAAGTCATTCTGATCTCTTATTCGGAAGGATGGCTCATCTTTTCCCAAAAAGGCCTCAGCAACAGCTTTTGCCGTCATTTGGCGCAAACACGTATCGTTTTTGCAATCAGTGCGGGCAAGGAAAAAGGCGTGATTGTGTTGCGATAAATCCTCGAAAGTTCTGTTAAATGTAAATGCCGGGCCTAAAAGCCACGCTGTCCGAAATAATCCTCTGGCTGCTTCTGTAGACCGGAGGGCCATTATTGACGCAGCTCCAGCATCGGCACCAAATACTGTGACCTGAAAACAATGAAAGTTGCCAGGATTTAAAACGGTAACTAAACATTAAATTTATGCTATAAAAATGTAGCAAATGCATTATTGCACTATATTTAGAGCTAGTTGAACACGTGTTATTAATTAATCAGTACTGAACAGCACTACAAAATCATGCACAAATCTAAAAACGCGTATACCGACACCATTGAGGAGATTAGTGGAAGAATCCGGTAAGTGCCATTTTTAGCGGAATTCATGAATCAGTGAACATAAATTATTAGTTGTCTTGATATGGGTATGTTAAATGCAACAGAATTGTTTCTTCTTTCACTTTAATCTTGATACAACCCTTAGAAAAAAGTAAGGTGTTTTAGAGGTTGTTTTGAGGTTGACAAATGTAAAAAAATACACTTAAAATGAGGTTATGTTTTGCACCAAAAATAACCTCATAAACAAACATCAATTTCCACCTCATTTATACCCCATTTACTCCTCATATATAACTAATCAATACTTTTAGTTGAGATTGAGGGAGATCATTCATACCTCAGCTATACTTATTTGCTTGAAGTATGGAAAAAATAGCCTCTATACCTCAAAAATAACCTCTCTAAGCTGGTTGCTCAAAAGTATATTTTCAACAACGCCAAGTGTGAATAAAACAGTTTCATACACCTTGATTCTACACCTTAAGAGGTTTATCTTTTAAGGTAGCTTTTGAAATCAACTTCAAATAAACCTTAAATTAATCTTGACAATTCAATGATAATGATTCAATTTTTTTACAACAGTTGAAATAATCCGCTTAATATATGTAGTGAAACAAATTCTGTTAACTTACGCCTGTGCCTCTACTTTTCATGTCCAAATATTTCCTTATTAAGATTTATTGGTAAACATAAATGATTTTTTTAACGATAATATTTTAAAATTAAAGGTATAATGTCTTAACAATATTTGCTGAGTTTACAACTGACATTCAATACTTTTGCTTATCTAACAGAATGATATATCGCTCATGGGCTGCACAACTCAAAAAACACGTTTTTGGACTAAGAACATGCGTAAATATGAAAATACACATTCTGTTCAGCAACAATTCCAACAAAACTCATAATTCAACTTGAAGATAATCTTCGTTTAAGCAAACTAGGGCATTTCTTATGCATTTTCCTTAGCAATGAAAAATTTGCTCTTACTTATCTCAAAACATGATTTTTTGAGTTGTGCCACTATTGCAGCTCATGCATCAAAAACAATTTGCGCATGCATCACTGTGTGCAGGAAGTTGATCTATAAGTTATAAATCATTTAATGAATCGCTCTATCTGTAACTCATAGTAAATAAAGTAATTTGCTCCAAAAATTATAATTATGAAACGGTTAATAAGCACTTATTTAAATAAGCTTATTTTAAAATGTATCGTAATAAGCTAAAGTTATGAAATTAAGTTAAAATAAAGAAGCAACTCTTTTAGTTTTAAGCCTGTAATTTAGAAAACAATCAAAATTAAAAGCGAATAAGATATATATTATATTAGATAGATGTAGTAGAATAAGAAGAAAAATATTACAGGACATGCATTTAAATTTAGGATACAAAAGTATTTTAAGAGAAAACAATATGTTCCTCATCATTTTTTTACAGATGACAACCAAAAGAAATATGGACATTAATGAGAAGTGACTTGACCCTACCATGCGATTTTCCAGCTTGTAAAAATGTACCGACAATATTGGAAACCTGAGACATCATCATTAGATTTCTATATACAGTTAGAAAAAAGTAATTTGAAGTAATTTGACACTAATTGGTATTTACTTTTCTTCCCGCGGTTTTTGCCCCGTAAAAGTTTCGTGATGAATTTGTATAAGATTCTAGATTTCGATTTGGTAAGGGTCATAACATTAATGCATGGTTATTTGCTAAGTTTTTAATATTCTATTTTGATTAAAAGTTCTGAAACGATTTTTGCTGATGATAAGAAATGTGTTACTTAATTACGCATATTTTGCATAAGTTGCTATTTTTACCCGATTGAGCAGTTTTTTATTTTTAAAACAAAAAACAGTTTCTTTCACTTTTTCAAATGTGAGGTGTTGTGCTTGTGAAATGTCGGTGTTAATAGAGTATCGATATTAAGAGATTTTATCCGAAATCACTCAGTGGTTTTTTGATATATAAATGTTAAGTAACTTTTACAACTTTATTCAACTTTAAAAATTTGCATCTCAATTTACATAAATTATTATGTTTAATTGAAAAATTTAATGGCAGGTGAGTTAATCAAACATGAAATGACTCGGCATGTGTGATATAAAGTGTAAACTCACAAACGTTTGCATCGAAAAGTATACTTTATATGGCAATGTTCCAAATGAAGTATTTTGTTGCCTTACGTTTAATAATAAATTATGCACGTTTGAAAGCTGTACTCGGGGTTTTAGTACTTTGTACCTCAATTTGACTCACATCTTACCGTGCGATTCTGGTTCTTGAGCCATTGAACGTTATATTCTAATCTACTCCGCCTTTTAAAAAAACTATCGAAAACTTTATCGAAAACTAATGTTTTAAATAATTCTAAACAAGCCTAATAATAAAAGTCTTTTTACAGCTAAAAAATTGACTAACGTTATTGGATTATTTAAACATTTTAATTATGACATTATAAAAAAACGCTATGAAGATTTATGTGAACTATAGTTTAACTTTCGTTATATTTACTATGGTTCATTACTCACAATGTTACTTTAGGTTACCAAGACAGTTAACATCATTTATTGAATTATGCATAATTAACTGTCTTATTATAATGTTTTTGCGTTTTCTATCATGTGTTGGAAGGAAATTTAAATAAGCATAGTAATGTTTGAAAAAGAAAACCTAATACCTTGTCTGGATCTCCTCCAAAAGCTCTAATATTATGCTGTATCCATTCTAAGGCAATGATTTGATCCCAAAGCCCGTAATTACCACGAGCATCTTGGGGCATTTGAGATAGCATATCCAATGCCATAAAACCGAATGCCCCGAGCCTATAGTTGAAGGAAACGAACACAGAATTTAGACGCTTTGCAACTCTTCCGGAGGGGCAAATTCCTGGTTCATGCCCGCTCCCCCATTGAAGAAATCCACCATGAATCCATACAAGTACATCTAATCCAGCCTGTAGTGAATCAAACATAGATTTACTAATAGGCACTATGGATACAAAAGAGATAATAACACGAAATTCTATTGAAAAAATATCAGAGAAGATAATCGTATGGGCACAAATGACATTATATAAATAGTTGTCGAAGTATTTATTATATATATTCTCTTTTGGTCACACTCATAAGGAATATTTAGTCATGCAATACAAATTTTAGCATAAATACTTAATCATACTGTGTTCATTATGTTAATTCTATGATTGAAATTTTTTTTATTCTTTTATTTTTATTTGAAAATATATAAATTTAATCTATAACTATAAATTAATCGTAACTTTTACTTGGATATTAAAAGTATTTATAACCATAAAAGACTATATATCAGTGAGAAAATTGCTAAATTTTCCAAAATGTTACATTGAAAACAATTACCATATATTTGGAATAATATATATTCATTACAACCTCATGAAGAAAAAATCCTCATCATTCTTTCTAAGGTATCTAACCAATAGAAAACAATATATTATTAAGACAATCGCTTAAACTAACTGAATAGACCATGCAATAGTGTTATTACATGAAAAATCCCATAACTACATGCTTAGTATAGTATCAATTTACTTTATACAGTTTTCTGTATAGCCCGAATGGTTTTGAAGTATTAATCTGAGTGAAAAACTTAAAACATTTGAAAGCATGATTAGAATTTAGCTAAATTAAAAAAATAATGAAATCTGCTTCAATAATTAGTTGTGATTTTAAAATTTATCCGAATAAAGTGTCAATTATATTTTTAAATTATATAAAAGGTATTTTAAATTATATAAAAATATTAACCGAAGACATTGAAGCACAAAATCACCTTCTCTAATCATATTAAATTAGCGTTTTGCAATCTTTGTTGAAAAAATATAGATGCATTTTTACATTATTTATAAAGTGTTTAACAGTATGAAAAAAATACTCAAATGCGTTCCATTACAGTAGTTAGAATTTATTTAAAAACGAGATTCGTAAAAAGTTTAATTTTTATTTTAAATCCAGTCATTTCAAATGTTTATAAAATATACACCGATGAAATTATAATTCAAATTAACTTTTTTTTAAATTAGATCAAATATCAAGTTAAATGCAGAGTGTAAATACTAAAAACACAATAAAAAAGTTTAAAATCATTACTGTTTTTAAACAGCAATGTTCAAATTAAAATATTTCAATTTATTTAGCAGTGTCAAACGGATCTACAACAGAGAAAATAAGCAAACTGAAAATCCAATAATACTTTCCCAGAATTCATTGCATAAAAAATTCAACGGTATTAAATAGAACGCTTTTCAGATTATTGAACATCGAAGTTCGACCAAACCCCTTTTAATCCTCCAATGCACCCCGTGCATACATATTCCCTTGTCACTATGCCTATGACAGGCGGTGGTGGTTAGAAAAATGATCTCTACCCCTGACCAGGAGTAATAAATGGCTTGATTTGAATACAATACGAGGATTTTGATTAATGATCAGGGATTTGAGACAACTTTTAAACGAGTTAATTCATCTTTGGGGAAATGTTCAACAGCGCCAATGTTTTGTTAATGTTTGGAAAATGTATTCCAGGGTGTGCTAGGTCTCTTGATACATAACTCTTTGAGTTTGAGATTAACAAGGAAAACTTTGGCAAATTACTTATATTAAATGACTTCAAATTGTTTAATGCTATTTGTAATTAGTTGCAGGCTTTTTAGTTTGAATATTATGAGAGAGTTAAAGAGAGCTTGCTGATCTTAGATGTAATTTGCTGAAAGTTTCTTGAAAGCAATAATTGAGTTATGGTAATAGCTATTTAAAAAAAATTGTAAGGTTTGTTTTCTGTGCTGCAATTACCAAGAAATTGCGTGGATGTTTACTACTAATAATAATATGGCTCATGGGCTACAATAGTGGCACGACTCAGAAAGCACGCGTTTTGGCCTAAGAACAGGTGTAACTATGAAAATAAACATTCTCTTCAGCAGCAATACTAGCACAACTCACAATTCCAGCTGAAGGTAATCTTCGTTTAAGCGAACTATAGCATTTCTTATGCATTTTTCTCAGCAATGAAAACTTTAAATCCACTTATCTCAAAACATGATTTTTTGAGTTGTGTCGTTATTGCAGCCCATGAGTGATATATAAAAGTAATTTAGGAGATTATACATCCCAGGATTTTTTATTTTTGAAATTAAACTTCCAATAAAAGGTTGAGTAGCATTTTGTTTGTTATTACTTTAAGAAACAATTAGAGTTACTACTTAGATTCAGCACCAACTATATTTTGCATCGCTTTCTTAAAAGAGAACTGACACAACTCAAGGTAACCCTGTTATATCGTCTGTACAAATTACGCACTATAAACGCTGTAAGGAATCTGATATCATTCTTAAGATGGCTGTGTGGTTAACATTTGTTTTCATAACATAATGCCTCGAAAACTCAAAATACCTTTGATACAATATCTGTACAAATCTCATCAATGAGGTAACCATAAATGCGATATTTTTAAACAGATGGTATGTTGTTTTTTTTTACTTTTACTTATGGAACACCTAGAATAACACCGATAAATAATTCCATTGGAACTTGCATACAAGTTATGAATCATGTAAGTGATGATAAATAATTTCACCTCACAGGGGTTTACTTTCTTTAGGTAAACTCTCGGAGTCACGCCTCTGGAGTACCCTAGTGATCTGTCCTCCATTTGTTATTTGACATCGGGCATGGTAATACGGAATTTTGTTGACACTTTACGACATGGGACTTTGTGGAAACTTACCATTCCTTCTCTGAAACTTTCTGTCGAAGCGGTATTTTGAGTAAAACTGGGAGCTGCATTTTCCGATCCCTTCATTCAGGCTGAAGACGTTCCTCACTGCAGTATCCTAAGTGTCCTACTTTTCATTATTCATGTTTCGCTCATCTTGAACGTATTGCCAACGTCCATATTTCGTTCACTTTATGTTGACAATCTAAGCATGTCATGTATAGGATCTGACATGCGCGTCATAGAGCGTCAATTGCAGTTTACCGTGAATAAAATTGTAGAATGGTGTGAGCAAAATAGTCATAGTCTTTCACCTGCTAAAAGCTCCTGTAAAAGGTTTTGTAGATTGAGCAGAATGCATTTTAATCCTGTTCGATCTATTCACAACATTACCACACCCACTTTATGTGTCATATTTAGGTGTCATATTTGATCAGAATTTTTATGCCTCATATTTTACATCTAAGGAAATAGTGTGAAAAAACTTTGAGCCTGTTAAGTGTTCTGTCGAATGCCGTTAGGGGTGCAGATCGTATCGTCCTACTCAGACTATACAAAGCGTTAATACTATCACGTATAGATCATGATTGTGCAGTCTATGGCACAGCTACTGCATCCAGCCTGAGGTGTTTAGACACAATGCATCATACTGCTTTACATATTAATAGTGGCTCTTTTCGCACTTTACCAGTTGAGAGTTTATATGTAATTTGTATCCAATCATCTCTCAATTTACGTCGCATACAATTTTCTCAAACCTATTTTTATAGCGTCATGTCCTGTAAATCACATCCTCTAATGCATTGTGTTACTTCATCATGTTTGGGGTGACTGTATAAAGCTAAACCTTCTCACATCATTCCATTTCATGCTCATTTATACAAGTATTCGACATTTGTGAATTACCATCGCAATTAGTGTATCCCCTTCTCATACCACCATGGACCATTACGCCATAACAGTTTTATTTCCCTTTTATGATTTACAATAAATTGAACGTTACACCCATCATTTATTAACAATTATTCACTTCTCATCGTCACCAATATTCTGAGTATGTGCCTGTTTTACTGACGATTCAAAATCGGCGGGATACGTAGGCTGTGGTGTCATCACCGCTGGTTATACTTATAGCTACATGTTTCGTCTTCACTGCAGAAGCTGTTACTATCCTTTTAGAATTACGACTGATTTCTTCGCTCTCTAATCGGAAGTCTTACAAATACTCTGATTGTATGAGCGTTTTGTACTAGTTAGAAATAGCAGCAATAATCATCGATTTTATACTTCATTAATAATTTATTAATCGCTCTTCAAAAAAAAAAGGATTTGACATTTCATTTTGTTAGATGCCGAGTTTCCGCTTATTTCTAAATAATATTGACATAAACATAAAAAAATAATGTATCAAGAAAGAAAATCTTACCGATGTATCGAGCCGCGGTGACCATACATTTAGATATAAGCAGTCCTCGGTTCCTTTTGTTTGGCGAGTAACGGGGTCCACATGAAAGCAAGGTTTGGCGTATTTGTGAGCTCTTCTTCGTTCTTCTCGACCACACCATTCACCATCTGACCACCATGAGATCGGTTTTTTCCACCTCAAGTGACCAATTGGTGCTTTTGCGTATGGTACACCCTGTAAGCAAAATATTGTGAAATAATTTTGAATTTGGGTTGAAAATAATGAATACCATGTGTACAATAGAGTTCACAAATGATGAACATTAATTAGTAAACAATAATTAGTAATCATCTTAATTAAATATAATTATAATTAATAATCATCTTAATCATAATTATAATTAGTAATCATCTTAATTTATCATAATTATAATTAGTAATCTTCTTAATTAATTATAATTATAATTAGTAATCGCCTTAATTAATTATAATTATAATTAGTAATCATCTTATTAATTATAATTATAAATAGTAAATAATAATTTATAATAAATTAACTTCATAAATTGCAACTTATAAATAGTTATATATAATAGTTCAAAAATTATAAACAAATAATGATATGGATTAATTTTATCTTTAACTGTTCTAATGAAAGAATATGACAAGTACGTGCAATGTAAATTTCTAAAATAAAGAAGAATACTGTGATTCACGTTCAATGGAACTTACTGCAGGGAAATTTCTAACATTGTTGTTTTAAAATTATTTCTTTAATCTTAAAATAAGAGAACAATATGGAAGACTTCAACAATGCAGATGGCTTTTAAACAAAAGAAAATTGTAGAAACAAGTTATTTAATATTTCAGAGCAGTACAATAGTTCCTTCTGGCAAGATTTAATCATCAACCCCATCTCAGCATTTTAGAGATACTAAAAGTGCTAGAATGTCCCGAGATACTTTTGTTTCAGTTGCGAGCATGAATTAAAAACTTTCATTTGAAACGTGTCCCTTATTACATTGTTTAGCTATTGTTATTAAATTAATGATTGTATATTTTAAAGAACATTTAGAAAAACACGAGAGGACAAAAGAGTCAGAATAAATATGACACATATACCTGTAGAATTTTAGTTTCAAAAATATTTATTTTAGTTTATTTTCCTTGAAATTTTGCAATCTATTACTGTAGTGTCAAAACAAACTGAAAATACGCCGTTGACATTCTTGTCGTTCAAATTCTTTATGCCTAACTCTCTCCTCTATAATTCTAGTCAATGATATTTTGGCATTCTCAATATCATAACTTTTACTCCTCTGAATTATTTTCTTTATTTCAAACACATATACTTGTTGAAGAATTGTTTCAACTAATTCCTCGACTAGACCAATGAGATCTGATTTTTTTTCATTTATCAAGAAAGGCCATAACTCTTACAGCATTATAATGGATGAACTACGGTGTCTCAGTATATTTTCAAGTAATTTATTATCTTGTAATATAATTTAAGGAGTTCAAACCTTCTAAAAGAAACCAACTAAACTTTTCCAAAATCCACAGCACTGCCACCACTAATAATTCTGTAGTGTCACAACAAACAGAAAACACGGCATGAATTCTAAAAATTTATTTCAAAACTTAATGTGCAAATTCTTAAAAGGAAAAAAGCGAACTAGCTATAACTAAGAAAAATAATATCATACTTGTAGATCGTGCTTAACTCCATCAAATTTTCTTTCCCTAGCTCGAGAAAATTTTTAATAAAATATGTTCTGATCTCTATTTTGTTAAAATATGAATGCTACGTTACATTACCAACAAATTAAAGGAAGAAAAGGAAAATTCTACTTAAATGAAATAATACCTGATATGAGCTTTCAAATCTCAAGAAATTTTCAAACAGAAATCCATCATATCAGTATACATATTATGCATTAAACAAGAGTATACAATTAAAATTTTTGAAAAAAAAATGCTTATGTGTAAGTTCTAAATAATGTTTCGATGGTTCGATTAATGGCGTCTGGAGAAAATTTTCAACTCTTCACATAAAATATTGGAATTTTCGAATTTAAAAATATCTGTGCATATTACACTGTTAAGAAATTTAAGAGCGAGTTGTACCATAATATCGTTCAAATCTACTGCAAAACTTCATGATAAGTTGAACCATGTTTTCATGCATCGTAATCAGATTATACGGTACTGTTGTTCAATTTAGACGGAAATATGGTCCAATTAAACTCCTTAAAAAGGACTCAATAAACTTTAATACATTCTGGTCCAATAGTATACCAATTTTTCTGAGAGTGTATGAGAGGTATGGAAAAAAAATACAGTATGAACTGCATGAAACGTAGGCAAATTCATTGATAGTTTAATAAAAAAACGTATGTTGTAAAAATGTGGTTTCTTTGTACCAAATCAGAATAAACTAAAAAAATTATTTTCTTCACAGTTTAAAACAAGACTCAAACTGCATAGTAAATTATTATTTCGTCTAGGAAAATGTTTAGAAGATTTATTAATCTTGATAATATTAATGGATTCAACTAAGTAAGAAAATGTTACTTAAATCGTATTAGTCACACCTGGCTAGCCCACATTAATTAGCTTTCTGCTGTAATCATTTCTCCTGTACAATTCCGAGAACAATTTCTCCAGTACAATGAAGCAATACCTGTACAATTACCTGTACTTTAATCAATTTTTTTCGAATAATGGTGAAACGGATATTGTTTTACCTTTTCTGATATATCTACTTCATGTTTGGAACCTATCATTGCATTTTGCTGCTGTATTAGTATTCTGTTTGAAGTTATGGGCGAGTTGAACAAAATGACAGTTTGATTTGCTGCTACCATAACACAAGTTGAAGCATTTTATTATGAGAAACTATTTACTTCATGAAGTTGACAAAATGATATAGTTCATTTCGAATGTAAACATAGTTCAATTTAACTATCTCTTAAGTTTGCATCAATTTTAAATTATAGGTTTAAGCTATTAATATTACGCTTCGTTGCTCCGTTTTTAAAAAAAAAAATTTGAGAATGAGCACATTTTAAATTGTTAACAACTGTTTTATGTTAGTTATAATTTTCACCCATCATTACTCTGTTTTAGATTTACGCATAGCAAATCAATACCTCTGGGGGTACTGGATTGGAGATCGATCGTTCTCTGATTTAGGTCAAAATTACGATCTGTGGATGAATGAATGGATCTGCCTTATAAACAGGTGTGACGTATGATGTGGCAGAAGTCGAATTTTTGGCCATAGATGGCGCCACTGAAAAACAAGAATCGCACACTCTGCCTTAAATTTGCTCGGTTTCACCAAGCAGGCTTGCCCGCATGGCAAGCGGCATTAGAACCAACCAACCAGATTCACGCAGTTCACACGTTCTCAACGTTTCTATGTTGAATACCATTTTTGTTTTTCCCTTTTTATGTTTATAGATGGAACCTATCAGGCACACATTTTTGTGTGTTTTCTTCACAAAATTGGTATTCTGTTTTAAATTATAGAAAAAGTTAAACTGTAAAACCAATTTAATTTGCTGTTACCATTTCAAGTTGAACCATATCGTTATGCTTGCACGATATTATGGTTCAATTTAACACTCTCTTGAGATTGTTAAATTTGTCATAATTCTTTTTTTTTAATTTTTACCCAACATAATGCACGTTTGAATGCAATTCAAATATTTTAAAATTTTTTATACGTTAAATGCTTCTTTTGTTATATTAGTCTATGGATGTGATAGTAAGTTGTACTAACATCTTTACACTTTCCCGCTGGGTTGGTATACTGTTAGAAATTAAGGGTCTTATAAAGTTATGGTAACAGATAATACTTTGCTTTCTTATTTGTTTCCAAACGAATGGTTTTGCTTAGCAAGTACTTTTGGACTCGTTTTCCATAAATTACTTTCTTTTATCTCAACTCCAAATTTAATTTAATCCAGTATGGTATTTCCTTAGATGCAGTACCTCCTTCATGACTTAAATAGTTTTAATTAAGTCTTAGAGTCTTTCGTTTAACGATGAGCAGGACCTTAAATTGAATGAAATTGCTTAGGACATAACTTTATGACCCAGAAGAATTTACCTTCATCTGTTAGAAATAAATAATTGAGGGAATCGTAAAAATGTTATTGCGTCGAGCTTATTGCTTAGAACGTAGAAAACAAAATTAATTGAAAGCATCAAGTAGCAAAACTATTATTTAAAAGTCTTAAAACAAATCTATATTAATCTTTATTAATCACTGCAAATAATTTCTATTCGCAAAGTAAATATTCTTTCATTAAATAAATGTGAACCCTAATTGTATTGTACATTACATTTAAAAGAAATTTAAACATACATTTACTTTTTTCTTCGATAAAAAAAAAACAATTTCATGAATAAAAAGTTTACAATCATACGCAATCAAAATCTGTAGAGTTTAACTTAGTCTGCTAAATTATTATTTAGTAGAAGATGTACTTTAAAACATGTACATTTTAAGGCTAAACAGTATACAAATATGATATAAAAATATTTGTCATATGACGACTTTATAATTATTTTCAGTGAACGAAGCAATACTACAGTACAAGAGATAGCTTTTTGCCATGCTATAAATTTCATCATTTCAACGGGAAAAATAAGTACTTTTAACAGTATTTTTTTCCCTTCATTTCCAGCTCTACAGCCTTTTGTGGGTTGAGTTTTCTTTACAATAGGTCCTACTTCTTCAATAATTAATCGAGAGATTAATTATTAAGAGTTAATTAATGTTATGACATTACACAATACTAATAATTATTATCAAAAATAATTTTTAATAGGATGGATATCGTGATATTACAAATTCATTTTGTTTTCATCTTTGCTACAAATTATTGCCAATTTATTTTTTACTATTTGTTGCCCTTTTCGATGGCTTATTTAATAAACACATTTATTAAGAAATTACAAAAGCACATTTATTAATCATTAATTTGTTTTAAATGTTGCTACAAATGCACAAAAATAAAAGTTCGCACTTACAAAATGTATGCATGTTTTTAGTTGTTTAATAAGAATAATTATATATTGATTTTTAAATGTATATCAAATTTGTTAAATAATTGTATAATCTTTAATTTTATATCTACTTCTGTTTAGCTTAATTCATTTTCGCCTTAATATTCTACCCTGTGCGTTCGTATGTTTGATTTACAAACTAATTTTATTTAAGAATTATTGGGTGAAGGCATTTCAAACTAACTGTTCTCATCTGAAAATGGTGCAACTTACCTTTGTATATAATTGCCAAATTTTTTATATAGCATGTAGTCGCATTTTTAACTTACATTCTCACTGTTATAGTTTTCTTTACTCAATTATTCATTTTATTCGCTTGTTTAATGACAACATATATTTTCATGTGCCTTGAAATTAGTTCAATGGTTTTATTGCGAAATTATTTTGCTCAAAAAATATGCACATTTCTAGTGACATCAAACCTTTTAAACAATTATTATTATGTCAATTTCGCATTTTTTTGCATGATAACTGCAGTTCTGTTCTTAACAATATATTTAATTTACCTTGACACTAAAAATGTGACAACTATGTATTAAAATCTTTTTACAGTAAAGTAATGTTCAACCCACAGTAATCGAAATTAATAAGTGTGTGTAAGCATCTTTAAATTAACTGTGTTTACACTGAATTGCATCGTAAAAATAACTTTACCGACTCCTATGCGTTGAAGCCCTGAATTATCTAGCATAAGTAGCTTCAATCATTTTCCCACGATTTCGGTTTTCCCGATTTTTCCACATTGCCGATTTCGGTTCAGATTTGTTGTCGCCGATCACATGGGTAAACAGTCGCCATATTGGTGAGTAGTTTGGCCAGTGAAATATCTATTTTTTTATTTCCAATGGCACATTAAAAGACAATTGAACATCAAAAAGGTGACAATAAATCTATAAATAAGTGGTTGATAGAATTGAACCCTACAGAGGAGTGAATGGTGGCTTTCCAAATCCCTTTCATGCAAATACGAGAATTGGGTGTTGATCACCAATTTGGGATAAAAGGATCCAAGGATTTTCATTTTATTCTGATCTCTTTTTTTACTGTTTTACTTATTACCGTTATCATTTCATTTGTTAATTTTTGTTTTGAGCGGTACCAGTTGAAAATGTTAAAAAGGTTATTTTTTATTCTATTAAAAATATTTTAATAGATTTGTAATAATTTAATTTTTTTTAATAATCGAAAAGTAACGTTGATTCCAGTAATAATCGCCAACTTGGCGAGTTTAAAAAAGTCGCCAAAAGGTGGGCTATTCTAGGATTTCAAAAAAAAAGTAAAGATATCGAGATTTTCATCTTTTAAGAGTGTGTCAAACGATTTCGCACTATCAGATAATGAAGTTTATAATTTATTAGTTGACGCCAAATCGGAAAACTTAACGGAAGAATATGACTAAATTGAGGAGTGTAAGGAAAAAGTTGGCACTGTTCGCATGGAATTGAAAGTATATTTGGAAACATCCTCCACATATCATGAAAGCAATTTGTCTGTAATTGCTGAAAAGACAAAATTAAATCTTCCTAAAATAGAATTAGTTAAATTTAGAGATTAAGTAAATGATTGGTAAAGTTTTTGGAGTCAGTTTAGTCGAATACACGATGATCAGTTTATGAAGGACGAGGACAAATTTCAATACCTCATTCAGAGTATGGTTGTGGGAAGTAGAGCAAAGGAAATTTTAGAAAGTTATCCACCATCCGCTGAAGACTACGCCACAGTGATGGAATGTTTAAAAACAAGATTCGGTCTGAAACAACTTCTCGTCGAATATTATGTAAGAGAATTATTAACTTTTGTGGAATAAAGCTGAACATAATGCAACTTTATGATAAATTGGAATCTTATCTGCGTTCACTGCAATGTATTGGTGTAACAAGAGAGAAATGTGTCGCCATGTTGCTTCCTCTTGCAGAGTCATATATTCCTGACGATATATTAAGAGTTTGGCTACGAAATTCTATAATTAGCAAAGAAAGTGATACTTATGGCTGTAAATTGTCCCAATTATTATCATTTTTGGGAACTGAATTTGAGAGCGAAGAACGTATCTCCTTGGCGAAAATTGGTTTCACGCATAATGATTTTTTTTCTTCGAAAAAGGGACAAAGATTTTGAAACATCCATCTCTGCGGTTACGGCAAATGACTTGTCGTCTGGGACTAAATCCATGCCATCATATTTCAAATTTAACTGCATATTTTGCAGGAGAAAGCACAAATCAGGAAATTGTTTTAAGGCTAGAAAAATCTTATTAGACGAAAAACAGGAAGTAATACGGAAACACAAGGGCTGTTTTTCATGTTTAAAAGTTGGACACAGATCGAATGACTGCTGGGTTAATATTAGAAGTATTGTTTGCAATAAAACAGATTGGCCTTTATTGTATTCAGACGTGCGCAAGACAAATAAGACAACGTTTGTGGACGCGTTTGCCGAAGAGAACATGACCTTGCGGAATAAAAGTCACCCAGAAGTATTATTGAAAACGTTTTTAATAGTTATTGAGGCCAATGGATAGAGCAGAGTAGTACGAGTACTATGTGACACTGGATCAAAATTGTGATGCCACAATTGGCATTACATATTTATTTCCTATCCCTTTAAAATAAATCAAAGACTTAAGCTTTTAAAACGAAATTAAAATATTTATTCCCTTTTTGCATCGATCAACGTAACGGATAATTTTTATTTCATTACTAATGCAGACTTATTAATTCACTGTCGCATCTAATCGAAAACAAAAATCTATTTATAACTTTTTATTCAAAATTTCTAACCGAAAATATGTTTCAGCTGCATGGTTGTAATAATTCTCACAAATTTCTTGGCGATTCGTGATCAAGGTATTTTTTAAACCCAATATTGATATGCTGGTTGGCTTTGTTTTGGCTATGCTATATTTTGATAAATCGCCAACTTTTGGATCTCCTACCCGTGCATCACTTTTGTCCGTTAGGAAAAATTGTATTCACCTTTAATTTCAAATTTGTGGAGACTGGGAGTGTCCTTCTCGGGCCTCCCCAGTCTCAATTTCTAACCGTCAGAAATGATATTCTAGCTGTATGATTTCTCAATACAGAGTATTTTGATTTGATCCCTTTAAGGGATTTTTTTTTGGATGTCAAGAAATGGCCATTCTCTATCACTAATTATGTTTAATAAAATAAATTTTCACTAAACGATTTATATATTGTTTTACTGAACATGATCATTTTTAATATTTTCATAATCAAGATGTATTTTCGTACGGCCAAGTAAAATCCACTTTACTATAAATGGCCGCCACTGATGGAGAGCAACCTCCACCATAAAAGTGATCATACCTTCTGAAATCAACAGTAAATGAAATGGGATTGGTGACCAAAATATGTGAAACTTTGACGCTTGTAGCGTTTGCCGGAGCCTGTTCTAGAAAGGAGCATAAATGTCAGAAGTTACGATTAAGAAATAAACAAAAGGATAACTTGTTTGAAGTAGAAGTTTTAGACGAACAGGTCATTTGTGGATAGATTCCAAGTCTGAAGGAAGGTCCGGGGATGACTGAATTACGTATTAAAGAAATCCGAATCACTCGTGTAGAGCAAGGCTCACAAGAAATCGAACTTTTGAGAGGAGCGGATTACATTGAAAAATTCCACTCTAACTATTAAGTTAGAATGTGGATTGGTAGCCATGGAAACTTACCTTAGCTGGATTGTGAGGGGATAACTGAACCATGCGCATAGTTCAAATGGACTCTGTTCAACATCACTCTGCATTCAAAATACTTATGTTACTGATTTCTGGAAATTATAAATAATTGGCATATCTGATCGATGCCAAATAATTATTCCAGTAGAATTTGATACTAAAACAATAAATCATTTTTCAAGAACTGTCAAAATAAAACAAGATGGTAGTTATGAAATTAGTTACCATGGGGGAGAAATATAGATGTTATGCTCAGTAACAGAGATATTGCCAGTAAAAGATTGAAAGCGATGGCAATGAGGGTTATTAAGGAAAATTGGTTGGACAGTTATCATGATGTTCTTCAAGAATGGATAAAGGAAAGTCTTATTGAATCAAGCTCATGCATATGCATAAGGTGGCATGCGCATAATGAGGGCTTAGTTAGTGTGAAAAAATTCTAGTTGCTTAACCGTAATAGGGGAAAACGGTTAATGAACTGTTTTTCTCACAGTTAGCAGTTTAATTACCATCTTATTTATGATTATCTGGCCGTTTTGTTTGGATATGGTAGAATAATTTTAAAAAAATTTTATTTAAGGATTTTTTCTTAGAAATTTTTTACACTGTCGAATTATTTTTGTGAAATTAAACATCATACCTAATTATCAATCAATATTAATCTTTGTTAATTATTTTCAATGATCTGATTAATAAAGGAATGTGATTACCTTGCCTGGATCACTCTAAACATATTTTTTAAGACTAAGTACATATGCCCAGTATTCATTTGCCCGTTATATCCCGCACTGATATTTTTTTAAGGTTAAGTGTCGCTTCCCTTTAAATTCAACACTGATTTTCTTTATGTTAAGTCCCATTGCTCTCGGCATTCCCAATACTGACTGTTAAGATGAAGGATCAGATTTGTCTCTGCGATTAGTTTAAATATTCAATGATACGATAGCACAAAAAAATACACGTTGATTTTTTAAAGAAATATTGGGCTCCTTAAATTAATTTAATGTGGTTTAATTCAAAGAGTTTGTGTTTCTTTTAAATAAAATGCTCAATAAAACGAAATCATGAATAATAGAAACTACGTATGCTGAAAAGTATAAAAGATCAGCCATTTACCTTAAATACAAATGCTCCATCCTCAATGGTTCCTATATAATCGCCACAATTTGTTCTAACTACAAGCGCATCTTCAAATGCTGCTGACGAATCTCGATGATTGGACGAAGGACCACTGGGTATTGATTTTGAACTGAAAAGAGCTACTTGGATTGCAGCAACTACTACTCCTGCTAGTAATAAACTGAGGACAACAACTGCACCTAATAAACACCTTCAAAAATAAAAAAAAGCATTTAATATATTTCTTATGTAATCAAACAATTGAATTATATACAATTTTCTAATTTAACAATAAATTCTATAATGTCTAGAAAATTTGTAAAATATACGTAAGAAATTTGTCGAAAATCCAGACGAGGTTATTTTAAATATATCATAAAATCATGAAAAGTGACTCTTTTGCATATCGGATCTATGCAGAATACTTTGTGACTAAATGCGACTAGATACCTTGATTTTGGTTAAGATGTAAAATATAAGAATTAGTAAAATTTTGTAGTTTGTAAATAGGTATTTTTTAATTGAAAAATAAAGATAAAAAGTAAGTTAAATAAAATTTAAATAAATGTTTGAATAATAGTAAGACTTCGACTTCAGATAAGAAAAATAATGTTCTGTTAAGTTAACGTTCTTATTGTCTTAATGTTTGATACACTAATTCTATTATTTTCGTATGATCCCTTTTCATGTCAAGTTGCGACTTTTAAATGACTTTTGACCCAGTCAAGTTGAGTGTTGTCAAAATATTGTTTGGAAGATATAAAATGGTACATAATTATAGCTCCAAGAATTGAGGGGATACATGTTTTAAGTGATAGTTTAGTGAGTAAGAGTAAATAACATTTATAGTTTATGCATTGCGTCGATTGTGTATGTTAATTAAAATTTTTGACTTTCTCTTCCATAAAATCTTAACTATCGAAAGTTATAAAACCTGAACACTGTTTTAAACTGCTAGCGTCTTAACGTTTGCACTCTTGGCAAAAAAGATGACTCCTGAAGCTAAGTAACGATTGTTTGTTACTAATTCGAAAAATACTCAAAGATTCTCACTTTGTATTTTTATCTACGAAGACTTCCCAAATTAAAGGACGTGTCAAAATAAGGCAATGTATATTCTGATAAATAAAATGTTATAATAAAATATGTCTAAAATAAAGTCTTTCCAAGAAATCTCAATCTTTCAAAAGGGTAATTTCAAACTAAGTTTTTTAAATGTTACATCGATGTTGTAGGATCTTTTTTTTAATATATAATAAAAGTACGAATTTGTCCAGAATCTGCTGCTTATAAGTGACATACATTGATTTGCTGAAGGTGGTTCATCTAAGAATTAAAAATTTTAATATTCAATTTTTTGGTATTCAAATAAATATCTTTTACATTAATTGATTTGATAAACATGTAATTTCTATGTAAAATTTCCTTACAATTAATAACTTTAATTCTAGCTTATGCATTATAATACGTTTGATTCAACTTCTTTAATACTTTACTTTCCGTACTGTACTTTCTTTAGGAAGCTTTATTTCTTTTTTATAAACCACAAAATTTGGACAGGAAATATACTGTCGATTTTCGCCAGCCAAAAATTATTGCACGTGCAAATGCATAGCATGGATGGAAAGATTTCTCGCAATCATTTCACCTAAACATTACTTTATAAATACCTGTGTAACTTCTTTCTGTGAACTTTTCTGTGTCTTCTGTGGATGAATATATCATCATCATTATCTAGATGGCTATAAGGACGGTGACTTAGAAGAGACATAACTTGATTGGATGCTAGGTCAGCATATATTATGTTAATAACCAATTCATCTGGCAGATATCTGGAAAGAGAACACATTTGGTCATGTTAAGCGCTAAATTAAAGCTTGATTTAACAGTTTAGTTTTACCGTTAAAATAAGAATCAAATAGCAGAATGGTGAGATTCATTCACTTCATTTGGCATATATATATTATTCTCTTTTATTTTTTAATCAATATTTTTAGTATTTATTTTGTTTTTAAAGGAAGAAAGAAAAAGATGATTTGACTGTTTTGTTCATCGCACAAATATTTCATAAATAGATATGTATGCCTGACATATATTAGTCCCAAATGTGATTGCATGAAAGTCATATTCTTTCATATCCAGAAGAAATAAACATTCTATAAACTGTATAAACATAATGAAATCACTAAACGTTAAGAAATTAATAAGAAAAAAAGAGAAATTTTAAAATAAGAAAAATATAGAAATTATAATTTATAATGTGCATCATATGAAATATTTCTCAGACTCGGCTTTACTCTTGAGGTTATACTACACATTTTTGGAACTTAAGACTTCGATGGTTTAAGAGGTTTAAGTGGTCGGTTATTGTTTCAAAAACCTCAGATTTCTTAAGATATATAAATTTAATTAATTCAAAAACATTAATCCGACATAACTGTAATTGTTTTCATACAGAAATCGTATTCCGTTCTTCATAGTGGTATTGTTGAGCAATTTTCTCAACGAATTGCCAAAGATTGCATTTTTCCAATTCGTATCGTATTTAGTTTTTTCGCTTAAAAGTTGGTTAAAAATAAAGTAAGTTGACAACTAGAGCTGACTTGAAAATAAAAATAAAATTGCATTATTAAAGATTTAAGTGCTAAAAACTTCGTAAAGTCTTTGCATAGTTTATAAAATTTAAAATTCAACTTTGTTAGTCAAATTCAACTTCGAATTCAAACGATTCAGAGGCGCAATACAATGAAAGTAAGTATGTATAAATAATTGTTTGCTCAATATAATTCAGTACTGATTTCTTTTCTTGCAAATATTATTGACTATTTTTCTTTGTCTATGAGAAATTGAACTATGGTGAAAGAGGATCCTTAATGAAAGTATGGTTTCAAAGGTTATATTACTTCTGCTTTATCCACATCAGTCTTTCTGTCAGAGTCTTGCATAAGCTGGTTGAAAGGCGTGGAAGAGTTTATTTCGTATTAAAATATTATGTTAGAGTAGAATTTATTCCTTTGTCGCCTAGTTGGTGTTGTGGGTAGAATCTTCGTCTGGCTTTGGCGTGAGTTCTATTTCTCTGGCTAAAAGCGAAATGTCTGATGAGATTGCCCTTTCTCTGACAATCTCTTTGCCCCTTATGGTAATGAAATGCAAAATTTGATCGAACTACTGATTTTGGCCCACGTTATTTGGAGAAAAAAAGTGGCTGTTTGCTGTAATTATTGCTTCTTTTTTTTCTTATTTTCTTTTTTTCAGACATTTTATAGCGTATAATTTGTGACAGTAAACATTTTAATTTTTTCTGGTGCTAATAAATCTCATATTCATTCCATTTGAATTCTTTTATAATACTATTTAATCAACTTACATACAGTACTTAATGACGGTTACATTTGTTGAAACATAACTGATTCCTGATTTTCTACCCTTAAATTTCTCGTTATTTCAAAGAAAGGTAAAAGCAATTATCGTATTTTATTCTTAGCTTGAAGAAAAAAAAACAGTGAAGCAAACATTATCATGTAGCAAAAAACTTTAATACCCTAATCAATCGATATTCAATTTAATTATTCATGTCTGAAAATAATAGCGCTTTTAACTTTCTAAAACTCATACAACTGGTTTCACATAGAAAAAAAAACCAGAAATTTATCTTTCAAACCTAGAAAATGGAAAGACATAGATTTGTTTCGATAGCATAAAAATATTTTCTAAATTTTTTTTGCAAAATTATCATGCAAATATTTTACTACAAAATGTCAACTTGAACCAATGATTATGTCTATAAGATAACATGAGCAAACCAAGCACATAGCGGCATTTTGTTTCAACAGACGGTTGATAATATAAAATATACGATTTCTTATCAACAGTTATTTAGAATCTGTTGAATTTACGGACAAATTTATTCTGGTTTCAATCGCGTTTAAGAGTTGAAATTCATCTATAATTAAATAAGGTTATTTTTAAATCAGAAAAAAATGAAAATGAAAAGAAAAACATTATTAAAATAATCTGAGAAACTGAACGAATTTTTTTTTGCACAACAGGAAACAAAAATAAACCATGGAAATCAATAATACCTCGAAAGAGCATAAATGAATTCATCTAAAAATATATTGCTTATTAATAAATCATGTTTAAATTGTTATGCACTGTCGAAAATTATTTTAGGATGATCAGTATCTTAAGATTTTATTAACCTTTTAAATATAAAGAGACGCAAAAGTGATATAAAACTAAAAAAAAACACGCAATTAAATAAAAAATGGGATAACTAAATAGCCGTATTTAAAAGACTAATCCTTATCCAGACATACAGAAACACGCATTTTATTCTTAACTGTAAAAATAACTTTTCTACTTAAGAGCATGCATAAAGGATGCTAGAAAGATTTATCTAATGACCTAAAGTGAGGTGGAAATAAAAAAAAGTACCACAATTGATTCTCTTACACCCAACAAATTTTAAAGAAGATTCAAAAGAATGTTCCTCAGCCAAAAGGGTGTGTATGGGTATTTTATTCAAATAAGATCCTTGAATTGATTATTTTGCGAGGCTGATACAAAGGAATAAAATATTTAAGGAAACCTGAAAAAGCTACACACTTCTTCAGATTGTTACAGCTTCTATTATTTTAGATGTTTTTTTTTCTTCTAATTTTTCACATGCGTTTTTTATTGTTTGGTGAAAAAGTTTCTGTTAAATATGTAGTTTAATCAAGATTTTATCAGTGGGATAAAGATAGTTTTAAAGTTATATCACGAAAAAATACCTAAGATTCGCCATGCTTTAAATGTCTATTTGCAACTCATTAAAGTATTTGCAATGTAAAATAATGTATAGAAGAGGGTCACTAGTTTTCTATCAGAAAGAGCAAGAATTTCGTAACTGAATTATTTTTCGCAGAAACTTTTTACCGTTATGATTTTTTTTTTAGTTTAACTGAAATGTTTTTCACTTCACATAAATGCAGTTATTAAAGCATCCACAAGCGACAGTTTTCAAAAACCCCATTTTTTGGTCTCTTATATCTATGTCAAATCAAAAAATGGCAGCGCAATTGCGTTCTTCAGGCAAATACTACTCTTTATTTGTGGGTTTGACTTTTTTTGGAAAATCTTTGAAAGGTAATGAGTTTTTCTGTTAGTTTTATTTCATCACACAGTTTAATCAACTTACCAAAAGTGCAGAATATCATTCGCTTGACGCAATGTTTAAGAGACACAATTATTTTAACTATGATTTCGCTAAGTTATCAATTTTAGTTGGTGAAATGCACATTGAAACTTTATTGACTATGTAAACCTTTTGTTCTAGCAAGAAATTCACAGATATGCCTACCGATATTTTGAGAAGTTAACTATTCAATGCTTTATAGTAATCTATTTTTCTGAGAAACCAACCGTGAACATCTGATTGAATCTGATAATTTTTCTTACATAAAAATTAATGATGTGTATTTAATTTCATGGTATATAGTGCAATTTATACTGACATGTTGAATGTTTTAAATATTTTATTTAAAAAAACTAGTTATTTCATATATTTATCCCGTAATAATTATACAAAAATAATGGTATATACGTTACATACATAGAAATATTTAACCATCAAACTTTCTGCACAGAAGAAATATTTCGATTCAATCTTTACTCAATTGTTAAAAATAAAAAAAAATCATTTTCTGTAGCATGTGTTACAATTTGAAACAATATGATAACTAAAGCTTGTTACTCAATTCATGAGTAAAAATAATTGATTTTCAACAAAAAACGTTAACTATCTTTCTCTTATTACATGAAGGTTCACTTTTTGCGTATGAATTATCATGTATTCATGATTTTATTTATAATATATGAAATTTTTTTTAAATTTTTACTTATAACTCAGAAAATAAAGCACACTATTATGAGAACCTGTCCGATCCGGGGTGACGCGCTGCATATTCGGATTTATGAGCGTACATTGTTAGTACATGAGTGTACAAAGTGCTATAGTGAAATACCGAAATGTTCCATTCCACTATTTTTGATGTGAAGTAATTACCCCATTTTCTTTTTGTGGTAACACTAAAACTTGTAATAAGTATCATTGATACGTGATATATAACACAAAGGAATCGTTGAAGTCCTTTTTCAGACAATTTAAAGTACGAACTATTTAGTTTAGGATACGCCACAATGATTTTTAAAAGAAAATTAGTTTGTAAATCAAACGTATGCCTTGCATAGAGAGAATATTAAGATGATTTCAAACTAGACTTGACAGAGCAAAAGGAAACAGAAATTTTTTTGTGTAAAACTATTTAATAAGTTCACAGTTATTTAAGCGTTAAAATATATTTTTCCTTATTACACAACTACTTTTGCTTTAGTTGATGAATTGCAGCGTGAAACCTTGAAACAGATTCATACTAACTCGTACTCGATTATAAACTTACGATATCTAAAGCGCGCAGCATTGTGTTTTCAGAAAAATATTACACCACAGTTTTCAATGTGTACAAAAAAAAATACCATGCAATGATAAAGATGAATATTTCAAAAATATAAAATACTGGAAAATACTGGATATAAATACTAAAAATAAATAATGCTAAAAATGTGCTCTAAAGAGAACGGATCTCTGATATTATATATGTGTGCGTATTTCAGCATATAATAGGTAAGAACATTCCAGTGAACATTTAAACTGATCGCCAGACCGTAATTATTGTGGTGAAGTACCACACCTAATTCCGTGCTGAAAAAAAGTAAATGTGTACCATACAATGATAAAAATGCGCATATCATTAATATAAAATGCCAAAAAAAGCTAATTAGCCTTCAA